ATTAATCAATTTTGCTATAAAATCTTTTTTGACTTTTTGCTACAAATCCACCAAACTCAAACCATTGATAAAACATTGCATCTTTAGCAAGCATTTGTAAAATTAAAGTAATGATCACAAAACTTACGAAAATCCTTTGCATGAATTTTAATAACTAGTTCACAAAATCAACTTTTTCAAACTTCTTCACAAATGAAGCATAAAGAACCTTTGTTAAACCACTTAGAAATCCTTAATGAAATTACCAAATCTAAAATAAAAACCATAAAAATATTCTAAAAATATTTCATGGTTTAGGGATTTAGGGCTTATTGATTTCATTGGAATTGGGACAAGGGGATGCTAATCCTAATTTGGTAATGATAGTCACAATGAGGATGAAGAGACTGTTGATGATGTCATTATAAAACAAAAGCCAAATTAAAAGTTCAAAATGACATCAAGGAGGTGAATAAACTCAATGTATAACTTAGAACTTGTAAAAACAAACATAACAAAAGAAACTAATCTATCTACAATCATCCATACTCCAAAACTAGAGCTAGGGCAAGAAGTCAGTTTGCCTTATCTATACTAAATCCCTTGTACTTCAATATAGTTGTGCCCCTCACATGACATTGTCCCCCATCTAAAGGAAACTACCAATCATCTCATGTCTAGGCTGCCTCAAAAATCCTTCATGTGGAGCTTGTGGACTTTACCCTCTTTGTGCAAAAGTGCCAAGAAATTGGAATTGAATCTAATACTGGAGAGTCTTTTGCCATGGGCATGAATCAATTGCTCCAAGAGAAGAAGACAAAAGAACTCTCAAAGCAAAACTTGAGTGCCAAACACCACCTCTTTCCAGTGGCTTTCTTGTACACTTCTAATACCAATTGTATCAACAAAGTGGGCAGAATTGAATTCAAGGTAATCTTGAGGCACTGGCAGCACACTCCATTGGATTAAAGCCAGGCCATCATGGCTTAAGGAGAGGTGATAGTGGGAACAATGATATCACTATTATATCCCTTTTCATTTATTTCTTTTGGATGAGGATCAATTTTATGCAGAAGTGTGTCATTATGACAGTGATGCACTTAAACTTCTCAATCAATAGCCATGTCTCCACACTTCCCATATAATTTGATGAGCAATGGCAGATTCTTGTTTAGATTCCCTCAAAATGTCCACCTTTGCTGCTAAGCCTGAGTGTTTGGCTGTCAGCTTGCTTGAGCAAAGGACATTTTGAGGCATATTTTCAGTATATCCCATGATACTTCATGCAATTCCAGCATCTCATTACATCCGATAGAAGAGCTCAAGGTGCATGTCCCATGATGATCATATTCCATACAACCAACATTGTGGTTCTTCATCCTCCCAAATACTTATGATGCTTCCACATGTCCATGAGGTTGCTCATGACAAATGCATTGGCTTCATATCCACACTTTGCACCCATCCTGCATAAATCTTCCATGCTCTCACCCCTTGCATACAGATCCACCAGATTCCTTGCCACAAACATGTCAAGATCATAGCCTGCCTTGCAAGCTGCCGAATGAAGAGCCATTCCTTTCTTGGCTTTGTCATTTCCATCAGCTGCTCGCAAGTACTGTGAAAACTTGCTGAGCATGCCACACTTGGGAGTAGAGTCCAAGAGGCTGTTTTAGGATGTGGAATCTATTGCCTGTGTATAAAACTTTTTAAAGTTAATACACTGTTGCAGTCCAGAACTAAGATTACCTCTTTTGCTCATCAAAATCCAGTTTCCATCCTGGAATCAGCTGGCACACTTCTTAAGTTGATAGCCTTGCTACTATGTGCTGGAAAAAGAGATCAAGTGCCAAGCTACCTTTGCAGCTATGAGTGGAGATGAAACATTGCAGATCTACATGACAAATTGTTGCTCCTGAACTCACGATGATAGCCAGCCTTTTGCTATACCCACACAACGACTCCTCTTTTTCTTTGTCAGGAATGTTCCATGCAATGGCCCCTACGTCTGAAATGTACCCCTGATCCTTGAGAGCAGCCTTGAGAAGCCATCTTGTCCCTATGTGCATGAGTTTTATCCCATAGGTACAAACTTATGAATGATTCCACATTTGTCAGTGTCCAAGCTTCTTCTGAACTTTGCCTACAGTCCCATATGCACGTAGGCTGCATCTTGCTTCTTGTCTGGCTATAACATTCTTCCACTTTGCAAGTGATCATGGTCGGCTTGAAACAGAGCGAAATGCCAAAGCAACACTCCTTTATTTCTTATAATTTTTATAACCATTTTGGTATCCACTACATACTATTTTAATTATAGCCTTTCCATTCTCCAATTAAACTTCTAGCATATAAAGTATTGTCAGAAAAAGTAAAATTATTATGAATTTTGGGCAAAATATTGGGGGAGATGATGTTCAATTCTTGGAGAAGTATGATCCTCATCACTGCAAGTCCTCAAAAGCTGGTGGAATGAAGGGCTGTTGTGAGTATACTCTTAGAAATGGTTGTAAGGATTTTTCTTGGCATTACTCAATAATGGATTGGTTTTGGGAGCCAAGAAAGTATTGAGAGAAAAATAAATTTTGAACTTTCTAGAGGATGCAAAAAGCTTGGGTTATGCTGATTATTTTATGCATTAAATTTTATTTCTACTTTTATTTATTAAAAAGGAAGAATAATGTTTGAAGGAGATTAAGTGGATTTATAGTTGATTTTGTCATCTTTTATTAATTAAGCTGTTATGAACTGATTTCAGGGTTGGCAGGCCGTTAAAAAGAAAAGAAAACTCTTCTTGAGGCCCTTGCCAGTGTCTTTGGATTCGTCAGCATTACCACCCACCACCTTGTCCTAGTTCGGGAATATTAACCTAATTCCCTTTCGATGGGCAACGTGCATTGCGCCCTTCACACAAGATTTCCCCATCTCTTAGGATCATTGTTCCTCCAGAGCTAAGTCAAGGTTAAAAACTAGCAAATGCTAACCCTCTCTTTGACATATCTAGTCTATTGTAAAGTTGTTGAGCTTGCTACCCACATTAGAACATTGACACACGCTCAAACAACTTTGTGTTTCAGAACCAAAAATGTCGCCAGAAAAGAGAAACATTATAATTCTTTAAAACTACCTTTCCATACTATTTAAGTTATAGCCTCTCCATTATTTTTTCTTTTCTCTCTCTCTAAAAAAATTAAAAGATATGGTGAAATCAACTCCTTTTTCAATAAATAAAAGTCGAAATAAATCTTAAAGCATAAAATATAATCAACAAAGGCATCGTTTTCGCCATCTCGACAGCCTCACCACCATACAGTGAAAGTGCTCCAGATCTGGAGTTACCTACGATCAGCTCATTACCTGGGTTGCTGTGTCGACCAAGCCAGCATCGCTACACTCAAGTGAGGATGAAGTGAAAGCAATCCCGTCCGGTTTTAAGACTTCCAGAACAAAGCCGCAAGTGACCATAACTCGGCAGTCCTTCGCAGTACTACATGCTCAGCACCAGTGATGCTCCCATGGACGCAATGACTTCGTCTCTATATCTGGAGATAGTCAAGTAAATTTCCTTCCCAATTGCCAGAGCTGCCCAAGCCTTCAGTTCTGCCACGAAAGTTTATGACCATCCGTTGAAACAGCTCGTCCGGTTCGTTGTGCTGAGCATAGCCGGCAATCAAGATAGTCCACGATGTTGCTTCCGGGGTATTCGTTTAAAAACTTGACGAGGCTTCAACACCTTGCATAGAGATTTTCGCGACTAATATAACCTTTGCAGATCGCTCTCTGTGAACAGGCCCTCCAATGCAGTATCAACCGTTTGAGCGTCCAGATCACAGCCTCGGTACTTCATGAGAGCAAGGCATCGTCAGTTGGTGCCGTTTAAAGCGAAGCCAGAGTGCATTCTAGACCACACTAATCCCGCCGCTTAAACCGCTATGCTGGTAGCACCGTACTTTCACAAGCTCAGAGTCAGAGAATCGTCTTCCTCCTGTGCGTTTAGCACTTTAATCCTCCACTCGAGCTCTTTCTTCTCAGTCAGAGAATCGTCCACCACAACTGCCAGAGGATTCGTCACTTCGATCCGCCACTGAGGGTCCTGAAAGATCGCATTCCTGCGCTGTTTTCTTCGAGATAACATCCATCGCAAGAGCAAAAAGCACGCAAGCAGCACCAAGATCGCAACCAAAACCCAGAGAAAAAGCTGGAGCAGCGACCAGGGCGTCCTCCGAGCCACTGTAACCACTACCGCGGGTGTCGGTGTGGCCATCGCTGCGTTGTGACCGTCGCGACGATGGTGATGGTGGTGGTGGTGGTGGTGGTGGTGGTGGTGGCGGCCTTCATGATGGTGACCATGGTGATGGTGGTGAACAACCAGAGGAGCTCCATCACCGGCTGGAGCTGGATCGTGGTGGCGAGCATGATCATGGAGAGCAGGCGCTGGAGCTCGATCACCAGGGTGGTGGCCGCGAGCATGAACGAAAGCAGCTGGCGCTGGAGCCGGAGCTGGAACTGGAGCGCCACCTTGAAGAACTGGAGCTAAAGCTGGCGCTGGCTCGTGGCCTCCATGAGATGCTCGAGGACGGTGGTGTCCATGCGCTGCTCGATGCGCTGGAGCTGGAGCTGGTGCTCGCGGGTGTGAAGCTCGGTGATGGCTGCCATGCCACGGCGCTGGAGCTCGGCGGCCAAGCGTTGGAGGCCCATGATCAGGAGAGACCATAGCTTCTTGATGGAGAGAAGCATCCATACCTGACGAAACCGCGCGTTCCGACATCTCGAATAGAAAAATCCAAGCGAGAAAGTATAACCTAACCCTTGACTTGGAAAAAAATAGTAATACTTTTGCCTTTGTGTGAAAAAAAGGGAACTCGTTTTTACCCCAAAGTCATTGTCGTCGATGGAAGCGTCCCAGTACCGCTGGTACTCGGTCACGATTGCTCTCCGCCTAAGAGAACTCGAACTCGTCCATCTCCTCGCCGGTGTACCAGTGGAGAAACGCCTTGCGCTGGAACATGAGCGTCAACCTATTTGTGAAACAATCGACTATTCAAGAAGAGTGGAAAAACAAAGTTTGTGTGAGCACATTCTTAGCTGTGCTTGAGCTTGTCCTTGAATTCCTGCTGGAACTTCTCCAAACACTCCAGCGCTATAGTCGAATTCCTCGAATCCCGAAAAGGAAGAAGGCGAGAAGGAGCAACAGAAGCATCCAAGTTGGGAGAGTCTTCCATGAAATCAATGAGGTCTGGAAGCTCATCTTTCGTGTTTCCAAGGAGAGAGTGGAGGTCTTGATCTTGTTTGACAGGCGCAGTTGGCTTCGTGTGCAACACCAAAGAAGACAGATGCGAGGAGCTGTGCCTGATGACATACAAGCAGGAAAAGACTAAAGACGGCGCTAGCAAGTTCGCTTCCGCTGCCAAACTTGGAGATCATCGTCCTCCGGAACGTCCGCCAGCAATCTTTCGGTGTTTCCCAGCTGATCGCCTGCCTAGAAATATTTTCATAAGAGTCACCAGCTTTGCTCGTGAAACTTACTTGCCGGAGTCGCTGATCAAGTATCTTCCAAATTATAAAAGCTCCCAGAGGCATCCCCAGACAGACGCCAAGCAGCACTACGGGAATTAAAGCCCATTTTTGTGATCCTGATCATGAAATCAGCAAAAAGCAGGAGTTTTAAATCCAATCGAAAGAAAAAAAATCCAGGTAAAGGATGAGAAGTCACCTGAAACGGCTGAATCGCTTGAATCACACGACTTTGGATCATCGATTTGTATCTCGCGAATCAGCCGGTTCCCGCAATCGGCTATGAGTAAGGAGCCACAAGAACACGCCAAGCTAAACTCGCTTGAGAAACGAGCTGTGTCTCCGGCAAAGCCTGGCTTTCGAGAGCTACCTCCGGCAATGGTGGTCACTGTTGGAACTAGAAAACATGTTCTAGAGATTTTTAAAAGAGAACGAAACTACCTTCGCCATCCTTGCTGATTTTGCGTATAGCCAAGTTCCTCGTATCCGCCACAAAGACCGCGCCATTGTCGCAAATAGAAAGGCTTTGTGGGCGATTAAAAAGTGACTTTGCCGCGGGGCCGTCGACATAGCCGGACTCCCCCACGAATGAACCGGCAAAAGCTTCCAAGCTGCTGTCTAGAGGAAAAAAATAAATCTTAAGCTTTGGAGCCACAAAACAAAGCATAAGAAAAGGTTCTAGTGCTTACTCTGCGAGAGTGGCAGTCTCAGCTTCCATATGCGATTGCCACTGGAATCAAGCGCCAACACAAACTTTTTCCGCGGGTCTGGATACAAGGCAAAGGCATTTGCCGAGTGCTTGCCGAGATCAAACAAGGTCTTGACAGTAAACCCAGGCTCCACTAGAACAAATGTTTTGAGCAAGAGATAGCTCACAAACAAGCTTACCTGAAGTAGCATTGGCAAGCGATACCAGCAGCAGCGCTCCGATGATCCAGGACGAGCTGTTCTTCATGCTCTAAAACCCTCAAACTGACGCGTCGTTTAGCCCGAGATGGGATATTTGTTAGAGATCCATTTGTCGGTATAACCACTGAAAAGTGGAAGTTTTTGTACAGACATACTTGTGCAAAACAGTGATTTCGGTACTAGGACCATGCAGAATTTCTGACGAAAATCAAAGGAAAAAAAAGATATAGAAGAGCAGGGAAGCTTGAGTGGGTTCATCACAGGGTCAACTTCAGTGAGAGTCGCTGTTCACAGTCAGGTCTGCTCTGCTCTCGCTTTCGCCCTTGCAGCCACACTGAGCTTCCCTTCTCCTTGTTTGTTTGTTTGTTTTGTTTGTTTGCTCGCTACGCTTTGGCGCGTGTCGTAGAGTACGAGCGAGGTCTCATCGTCCAGTCATTCTGCGTGAACCATCGATGGAATGAGAGGCCTCCTTTGTTTTGCTTATGTAACGCCTACAAAAGGTGGCGTCACACACAAAGAGCGGACCATGCATCCTTGTTTCATTTTTTTTCTTTCAAGACGATCTTAAGAAGATTACGGGAGAAAGTGCAAATGCCATTGTCTATAGCAAATTGCATGCAAACTGCTAGATTCCATTTGCGATCGAGCACAAGTTGACGCAGTTTACCAGCTCTGATTTGCACTATCATTTGCTGAAATCGCTGTTTCCTGGAGAACCTGAATGATTGTACCTGGTAACTTCTGTTTTTTACGAACAGTGGTCACGGGGCCCTGTACAGTAAAAGTAATAAACAAAAAGCTTTAACCTTGCTTCAAAGGAATCCAAGGCTGGGTGGGTGATTTCTCTTGACCAACACTGAGAGTGAGGCTTACAACTCCTGGTGAAGCTGTGAGAGTGTATGATTATTTCCATTTCACTCATAAGCAATGATAGTGGGCTTCAGGTGGTGGAGCTGCCTGCTTACCTGTGGTACACACTACACCTGCAAAAGCTTCCACCTCTTTCCAAGGGAAAAGTGTTTTGTTCTCTAAGTTATAGAGGGCAAAAGCAGAGAGAGGGGACCAACCCAAATGCATTCCAATTGCAACCCAATCCAGCACAAATGCTGGATTGTAAAGGGAAGTGAGTGAGTGTATGTTTGTGGGTGTGTGCTGCATTGTTGTCATTACTGCTTGCCCTTTCTTTCAAGGGAATCAACCTCACATGCCAAACACCACTTTTTAGCTTCAAAGCTTGGAGAAAAAGAGGTAAAAATAACCATAAAGAAAGCATAGAAAAAAAAATGCCCCAACCAGATCAGCATGCCAGGTTGGTTTGCACTATTCCTCAAAGGAAGCTTGTACCAACCTCTGCTCTGGAAAGGGAGGTGAGAGAAGGGAAAAGTTCTTAGTTTAGGATGAATCCTCTCAGGAGCTCAAGATCTCAGATTTGAGCACTCAAGAGGAGTAGTGGCCCAAAACTGCAAACCATAATAAGCAATGTCATAGTTTCTGGAGGATTGACTCGATTTAGATCAGCTAAACGCGCTGGATTTGCGAGAATGCTGGCAAGCAACAACCGGATTGTGGTGATGGCTGGCCTCTCTGGCAGCACCAGATTTCACAAAAAAGCTTGCTTTTGTTCCTGGCTGCCTAGCTGACCCTTTGCAGCCTTTTCCGTCTCCAGAGAGTGAGAGGGAGTCCTTTGTGTTGGTTTGGTTGGGAAGCATGCGTGAAGCCTGTGTGTGTCTTGTTCAACCCCCCTGACACACACTCACACACACAGAGTGAGAAGAAGCTTGCTTGTTTGCTCCATGGGTTTTTCCTTTTGCCAGTTTCCCAATGATGAACCTTGGGCAGCATACATACATTCGAGATGAAAAACAAACAAGAAAACCTGGGAGAGGAAAAGAGCGTGGGCAAACAATCTTGAGCCAGGTCAATCATAATCTAACGCTAACCATTTAAAAACAACGTAGAACAAGAACACGGGAACGAACGATCATGTGTGCACAGATCCGCGCCACGTACCGAATGTTCTAAGCCGCTAAAAAGGTCATGAAATCTTAATGAAATCCCATGTTTTCCCAACCTTTGCATTTAGTTTTCATACGAGTCGATCTGTTCTTCGTGGAATCCTTTGTTAATGCCGCCACACACCACGAGGTGGAAAGAGTTTGAGTAACGACGCACCGAAAACATCACCCATTCTCGCTCCATTGAGAAATTTCTAGGGTTCCTCCTTCCACCACCACGATTCACGACCAACAACAGTTGATAGGAATTTTCTAGGTGCCAAACGGTGGACGAATTAAGGCATCCGAGGTTAGACAAGAGGGAATCTTCCTCATATCTCCAGGAACAAGGACGTTTGCTTGCTTTCGCTGCCAGGTGGCATGAAATGGGATGTACGGACAGGCCCAAAATTCCTACCACGCCCCCCACTATTGCTCCTTAATTCCGCGGTCATGGTAATTTCAAAACCATTTTTGCCGCGCGCATCTTACGCTGTTTACGTATAGAATAGCAATGGCCCCATTGCCGCCAATTCGTATGCATGGGCATGGGACGCTCTTGGGACGCTCTCTGCATGACGTGTACCGTGGAGCGTGCTGGATGGGCATGGTAATGCCCATGAGACACATCTACCAACGCTATAATTTTCTATTGCCTTATTATCGTTCTACTATAACTAAACGATAAATAAGTAGCAAGGTTCCTTTCTTCTTTGTTCCAGCCTAGTCGCTGCCGCTGCTCCTTTAGGTTTTCGGTGGTTCTCCGTGTGAGCTTCACTCCACCAGGTGCCGCGACGCCAGGCGCGACCGCTGTTTCAAGCGCTTTTGATTGATCCTGGGAGTCTCGGGGGGAAAGCTGCTGCTTCTCGGAGATTCTCGGCGATTCTCGAGGCCTTTCGAGCGAAATATCGCTTGGATGCGGGCAAGACGCGCTTGTGGATCGAAATTTCGGCAGCGTCGTCGGTCCTGTGCCGCGGGGACGAAGTGGAATCGAATGGAGCGGGCGGTCCTCTTCAGCAATTACGGCACTGGCGGTGATTGAGCGCTGCGAAAGCGCCGGCTGCGAGGTTGACTGGAGAAAGGCGCAGGATCACTCGACTCTCCTTTTCGAGGTAAGCGAGAGTTCTCATCAATGTGGAGTGATCAAGAGCTTTGAAAATTTTTCCCTTTGGGCCAAACAGGATCAATGCTGGTGCTGCCGTGCTGGAAGTCGATGAGATGAGGCGGATTTTTCCCTCCATCCTGTCCCCGGCATCGTCCGGCGAATCTCCCTCCCCTCTCAAGGACGTCTCCAGCCAAAGCACCCTGACGCAGGACAAGGAATGCGTCACAGCGCCCGCCGCTCGCCAGAAATCCCCAGCTCGCTCGAGATCTCCTTTCAAATGGGGTCGCAGCACGACTCCTCGCGGGGAAGAAACCAGGGCCGTCAGCAGGAGGGAGCACACTCTCCCAAAAGAGGGGAAAATGTGGGACGCTACTCCACCAAGTAAGGAGGAAAAGGCGGCTCTGGCAGCGGCGAGAAGGCTAGCGCATCCAGGAAGGAGTATAGAGATGGACCTGGCGTCGCCGGCTTCTCGCAGTGGCCCGTATTGCGAGGACGATTGCGAGGAGAAGCAAGTTCTCAGCGTGCGCGCTTGCTCTCCCACGGCCTACTTCCAGTCGGCCCATAGGATGCGTGCCTTGACGGATGAAACAAGGAGCACAGCCGAGTCAAGATACAGGCCCAACATGGACACAGTACTACAACCGTGAGTTTCTTTGTTTTGGTTTACAGAAAAATTCTTCTTCGTGTTCTCTGAACTGTTCGCTTGAATTTTCAGGCCCCCTGGACTTGGTAAGGAAAGGCAGCATGCCAAACGGACTAAGAGCGCTCCCAGGCTGCGGATGCCATTTTCTGGAGACTCCAAAGCAAAGTCGAGTCAGCACAGGTTTGAGGATGGAAATCCTTCCGCAGAGGGACCGTTTGCACTGCTGTCCAGCTTCGTGTCACACTTAAGTCCTGGCAGAACGCGAGGTCACGGCAGGACAGACTCGGCAGAGAATTTGTCAGTAGCTACTTCGGGCTCGAATTCGTTCGGGGAGAGGCGAGCAATCGTCGAGTATGACGAAGCCATTGTTCCATACAAGTTTCGTAGGGACAATGACAAGGCGCCTGGGAAGGCTAAAGGCGCCAGGCTTGTCGCTGAGAAGCTGGCCAAGGCTATTCGGGGGACCGGTGGCTCGAAGAAGGACTTGAGAGCGCCGGCTAGCTTTTCTGAAGGAAGCAGTGGGGTGACTAACAGCAGCCCTTACAAGGATTCCAATTCCACCCGCGCCCTCAAAAGTTATCTCAATGAATCGAGTGCAGCAGAGGTTGATCCCAACGAGATCGTTCTGGATTTTTCCGACAATCGATACCTCAGCTACGGCAGCTTCAGGAACTCCAGATCCAGGGAAATGTTTCCACTAGGCAGGCGGGAGGTCCTTAAAACTGACAGTGAGCTAATGGACTTAGATAACAAACTAAAGGAGTACGAGGACCAAGTTGACAACATGCACTACATAGCTCAAGAACGTGCAAGTGAAGCGGAGAAGCAAGTCCAGGCCGTGAAAGCAGAGCTGGCAGATTCCTACTTAAGTGACGACTCGGATTTTGATGGCGTCCAGGAAACTCCCGACGTGCAGAGCAGGGCGCGGGAGTTGCTGGAGCAAAAGCTCAGGCTGGCGCTGGAGGCTGCTTCAGAAGCCAAGCAACGTCTTCTTGAGCAAGTAACCATCAAGGATGGATTGGCACTCATGAAGAGAAGACTCGAGTTAGCCGCGGTTACCTCGGAAAGAGAAAAATCTGACCAGCAGACTTCATTGGAAGAGGAATTACAGCGAAGGGAGGCCGATTGGATAGCGAGACTGGAGAAGGCACAGATGGAGGAGACAAGGCTTAAGGGAAGAGTCCGGGACATTGCGGAGAATAATGTAAGCTTGCAAAAGGAGACAGCGTCAATGGCTGCTAGGGAGAAAGGCCTGCGGGAACAGATAAGGCAGTATGAAGATCAGATTGCGACACACAAGAAGA